CTTGAAAATGTCTAGCCCTCTGGCGGAGGCTAGTTTTGGGTTGGTCTTCAAAATATTGTATCACATTTTCAGTTAACTGGTGGGCTTTGTCGTGTCGGTGGTCGATCAGGGCTTTGAGACCTAGGATCCACTGGCCGGTTTTCGCGGATGCGCTAAAGAGCTCCTACAACAGTGAGAGGATGCGTAGGGGATTTTCTTAAATCGCCATATCTCTCGCAATATGTTCTTATCGCAAGGGAGGCATTTTTGACGACATTCTCCGTAAATTAAGATCATGTCTGCATATTCAGCTGCTGTGTAATTCGGATGTGTACTTGCTATTACCACCACAAGTTTACACAACTACTAATAACACAAATAAAAGTATCCGTATAGCAAGAGGTGCAAACGTACCTATTAGATTTGAAAACGAAAACAAAAAAAAGCGTCTTTATCGCAGTACCATAATTTAATTATTATCCTAATTACACAAAAAATACTCAATAAAACAATAGGGAAGCGTCTATTTCGCGGAAAAGTTCACAAAAATATTAATCGACGTAATTATGCGCACTACTGTGAAGAAGTGTACAAGTACACGGTTTCGGCTAGCACTAGAAAAGCAAAAAAGTAATTCGATTTTGATGCAGCGGGGTGGGAGGGCGCGCGTTGCGGATGCCTCTTTTCTTCAATAGTATTAATTTCAATGAAGCGATCTTATGATTCGTGACTCTGCTGCGCAACGGTGCTCTAAGTACAGGTTGCTCTAAGATGCTATTTTCTAAAATTTTAAATAAATCCGTAAATAGTAACATTTAATGGATATATAATTTCTTCATGAAACGAAAATGTGAAAACGTATATGTATGTTAAATTAAAGTCATCATTGTTGCTGAACGTTGTATATATGGCGGCGCATTTAGGTAGAATTGAGGGATTGAGGGTATATCGAGAAACTCCCACTTGTTTGTGCACTATAACTTTCACTGTAGGCGCCGTGCACGAGAGATTCCGTTTGAGTCATTTTACGAGTGAAATCATTCTAGAGTGCTAAGATAGTGTAGTGGTTCTGTTCGTTGTACACACCAGTGTGTAATTGTGATGGAGACATATTACGGTATGGTCGAACTGTAATTGCTCTATACTGACTGTATAGTGCGTTACGCTGTCTTATTGCTGATAACGATTGCGTAAGGAGGAGAGCAAGTTGAACTTCCACTCTCACACTTTTATTGTTTTTAACAATTATCTACCTTTCCTTTCCAGATGTATTTCAGAAGTGGGATCTCCTGTACTATTACCGATATGTATATACCTAGTCATGTCATAAGTTCCGTCAAAAACTTTTTATAAAATTAATTTTTTGATTATTATATAGAAATTATATAAATATATAACTAAAAATATGAAATAAAAGGTAATTTAATTTAGATTTATTTATACTCATATCTATTTCTGCCGGTGCTTTAGCCAAAGATGCTCGGAGAGATTCCAAATTCTGATGAGGTTTAGCGCAGACTTTTTCCTTCAAATGTTGCCATATCTTATAATCCAGTGGGCTTAAATCTGGACTAGAAAGAGGCCAGTCTTTATGTCCGATAAAGGCAATTCCATGGGCGGTCAACCAATTTTGCGTGCTTCGTGCCCCATGAGCTGTCGGAATATCCAATGTCTGTTTTTGAACATTGTTAGAGAAAGAGGTTTCACTGTGTTTGTTAGGACGGTATTTTGGTACACCTCGGCACTGCTTTTTACACCTTTTTCACAGAAAAACACCTGAGTTAAGCCTGAATATGAAACTCCAAGCCAAACTATGAGTGACGAAGGATAATGTACTCGTTGAACCCTCGGAATACGCGTGCTGGCTTCTTCACTGCTGTGGGCATACACCTTATCATTTTATTTATTATAACATTCTTCGATGTAAAAAATGTTTTCATCCGAAAACAAAATTTCGCGGTATTTTTTCCCGCGTACCGCTGTAACAAAGCGCGGGATCTGTTCAGCCTAATTTTTTTCAAACACTCGTTCAAAAAATGTCCGGTCTTCTTATGATAAGCACGTAGTGTGCACGCACCGTGATTCTGATTAGGCCCATCTGAAGAGCTAAGATTTTTTGTTTACACACAGGATTTCGTTGGATTCGCGCCTTCACTGCTTTGATGATCGCGGGTGTCCTAACTGTACGAGGTCAGCCGGTCCTCCTACGATCTTCGAAGCTTGAATCTTTAGTGAATCGTTTGATAGCGCGATAAACAAATCGTAAGGTTATTTTCAATTTTTGTAGAATATTGAAAATCTCCTTTGGCGCGTAACCACAGGTGCAACGCGATAACCGCTACTCTATCTTATTTCATCGACCACTCCATATTTGAAAATGAATGTCTTTTTTATTTTCGGCAAGCATAAACGTTATATTTTTAAAATAGGTTCATCATCATCATCTATATACATATAATAAAACTGTAAATAGCAGATGTCTGTACATTTTATATTTTTGTAATAAAAGTGATTGAGGGGTACTAAAAATAAGTAATTAAATACATTTCTACCATTTTTAGAATTTTCTGTCTGTCTGTCTGTCTGTCTGTCTGTCTGTCTGTTTGTTTGTTAACGTATCACGTATAAAGTACTAACTTATATCACAAGAATTGTTAAGGAAATTATAAAGTGTATCTTCGGGTTACATTTAGTCTTTATTTCATTAAAATCAGTTCATTCCATCAAAAGTTATGATAAATATTCTGAAGTATGGGTAGGGAAGTATAGGTACGAATTTGCTTAACGGTGGCTTTGTTTGAGTCATCAAGTGCATTTTAAACTAATATCATATCATAAATCATAGTTAAATTATGTAAAATAATGATATAATTATGTATATCTAAAACGCAGTAAACAAAAGTATTAAAGAACGTATTAAATATATTATAAAAAAATATAATAACCTTATTAAGTAAATCTGAAGCACAATAGTTAACCCATTTCTTCGATAGATGGTGGTGTTGTGAAAATGTAATGCAATTGCAAAAAATTGCGAAGGTCGAGAGGCTGGCGAGACAGCACAATGTGGAGTAATAAAAAAGACCATGCGTCCACTTTTAGGCTTTAACTTAAAAACAAAGAAGTACGTATTTCACAGTTTTTGAAAATTCTACCCCCATAGAGGTTAAATAAAAATAAATATGTATTTCACTCTTTTTGAAAATTATACCCCCAAATGGGTTAAATAAGGGTAGAATATTTGTATGAAGTTACTTCATTTTCCAAATTATATTCACGAAATTTAATAATTTAGCTATTGATTTAAAATAAAGAAGTATGTGTTTCACAGTTTTCGTAAATTTCACCCCCAAAAGGCTTGAATGGGGGTTGGAAATTTGTATGAAATTCCGTCATTTTTCAAATTATGTACACGAAACTTGGTATAGTGGCTTTAGATTTAAAAAAAGAAGTACGTAATTTGTGTGCAAGTGCAAGTTGGACCAGCATACAAATGGTTCCGTACCATTATACAAGACATGTCTTTTTATAAGTATAGATGTCGGATTATTCAGGATGTTTAACAGTAGCTCGCGCAAAAACAAAATTTAATTATATGGGTATCTAAAACTCTTTAATTTTTTACTTTTTTTTATATAATTGTTGTTATTACGGCTATACATTCTGTAAAAATTTGAAGTATCTACCTATTACGTATTTAAAGGCGGTAGTAGCCTAATGGCAGGGCGAGGACCGCGAACTCGAAAGGTCGTGGGTTCGAATCCGCAATTTGACTACTGTCGTGAACCACTTCTAACAAAAGCATTTTAAGCTTACCAGAAGTAGTTAAAGGGAATATTAGTAATGTTTAAATAGCATTACTAGTATTTTTTTTAAATTAAAAAATTACGGTTTATGAGATACAGCCCGCTGATAGACGGACGGACGGATGGACGGAGAGAGGAGGCTTAGTAATAAGTTCCGTTGGCACCCTTTGTATGCGGAACCCTAAAACTTAGGTGTGGGTTTCACGGTTTTCCAAAGTGCGGCATTTTTAAATTATATATCCATGAAAATTGGTAAGTAATTTATTGTGGAGTTAGGGTACAATGCGACTCCAAACTAGTTTTGGATACAAATACGCCTACCTACATACTACTACTACTACTACATCATCATCATCATCATCAACAACATCAACATCATCAACAGCAGCAGCATCAGCAGCAGCAGCAGACACCTATTCATTGACTCAATGCTGAGTGCAGGTCTCCTCTCAGATATACCGTAGTCCACCATACTAGCCCAATGCAAATTGGGACACTTCACACACCTCTCAGAAAATTATGGAGAACTCTCAGGAGTTCAGGTTTCCCCACGATGTTTTTCTCCACCGTTGAAGCATTTTATATTAATTGCTTAAACATACATAAGTATAACTCCGAAAAGTTAGAGGTTCATGCCCGAAATTGAACTTGCGACCCCCTAGGCTGTCACGCACAGACGACTAATAGACAACAGTCTGTAATTCTACGAGTCTCTCTATCGTTACTATGCCCGTTGGGGTATTCTACTAGTGTAGGCAAGGAACGTGGTGTCGTTAAGAGGCTGCCCTGCCCTACACTGAGATGGGTAGTGATGCTGTTGGTTTGCATACTTTGGTGTTATCATGGTACATGGTAGCTTTATATTGAAATTTCTTACAATATATATATATATATATATATATATATATATATATATATATATATAATTACAATATTACAATATATATATATAAGTCAGGGGGTTCTCATGCTGGTCTACCTTTCCGGTGATCCTGGTATGGAATACGGGTACGCGACCCCGGCTCCCCGAGCTACTGTTATTCTCATACCTTTCCTGCCGAGATAACAGTATCCTTACACCTATGCTCCTACCCCCAAACTTCTTTTTCCTTTTCCCAAAATGGTAGCTTCCTCTACCAGCAATAGCATACCCAAAGAGGGTTGGTGTCAGGCAGGCGGCCGACTGTAAAACTTTTGCCAAATCCCATGCAGTAAATGAATAGTACGAGTTGTGGGACATATGACAGGGCTAGGGCGTACCCCACAGGCGACGCGCAGGGGCAGCACCCGGCTCCTGTGGGAAGTGGGCAAGGGTTGTCGCACCTTACGGAGCGGGTGCGACGTAAGAGGCGAGCCCGGAGAGAGAAGAATGTCAGAGTGAGGTTTGCAAGCTGGAATATAGGTACGATGACTGGAAGAGGAAGAGAGTTAGCAGATGTTTTGAAACGACGAAGAGTGAATGTTGCCTGTTTGCAGGAAACAAAATGGAAGGGCAATAAAGCAAGAGAGATTGGGGAGGGATACAAGTTTTATTATTGTGGAAGTGATGGGAAGCGAAATGGAGTAGGAGTTGTGTTAGATAGTGGAATGAAAGAACGAGTGACAGATGTGAAAAGAGTAAATGACAGAATGATAGTTGTTAAATTAATGATTGAAAACAAAGTAGTGAATGTTGTAAGTGTGTATGCTCCGCAAACAGGCTGTGAAGAGAGTGTGAAAGAGAAGTTTTGGGAGGAATTTGATAGTATGATGATGGGAATACCTGAGCGTGAGGATGTTTATATGGGAGGAGATTTTAATGGACATGTAGGGAGAGTGAATGACGGGTATGAAAGAGTACACGGTGGATGGGGGTACGGAGTGCGGAACCGTGAGGGGGAAGTTCTTCTGCAAGCAGCATGTGCTTTCGACCTGGCTGTAGTAAACACGTGGTTCCAAAAACGAGATCAGCATCTTGTTACTTATAAAAGTGGCCACCACGCGACACAGATCGACTATCTTCTGATAAGACGGAACCAAATCAAGAGTGTAAAAAACTGCAAAGTGCTTCCAGGTGAAGACTTAGTATCCCAGCACCGAATTCTGCTGGCTGACATCTGCTTAACTGTTCGCCTCAACAAACATAAGGATCGTCCCCCACCCAAAATAAAGTGGCATTTGCTGCATAAGGAGGGGTATGCAAGTGAATTTAGAGAGCTAGTTGTAAACAAGATGATAGAGATGGGTGATATGGAAGGAATGAGTGTGAATGAGTGCTGGAAGGAAATGGCTGATTGTATCAGAAGTGTGGCAAGGAAGGTGTTAGGAGAAACAAAAGGGAAGCGTATGATAGATAAGGATGGGTGGTGGTGGAGTGAAAGTATTAGAGAAGTTTTGAGAGAAAAGAAAAATGCCTTTAAAGAATGGCAGAGCGTAGAAGACCAGAATGAATCCATAAAAGAAAGTAAGAGAGGGGCGTATAAAGAATGTAAGAAGAGAGCGAAGAAGGAAGTTGCTATTTGTAGGGCAGAGGCGCACGATAAATTATATCGGTCCCTTGAAAGCCCCGAAGGTCAAAAACGACTTTTTCAAATTGCAAGAGCGAGAGAAAGGAATGGAAGAGATGTTTCACATGTAAAATGTATAAAAGATGATTCTGGAAGGATTTTGACTGACGATGAAAGTATAAAGAAGCGATGGAAGGAGTATTTTGAGAAATTGATGAATGAGGAGAATGAATGGAATGGTATGCTTGAAAACCCACCAGTGAATATGGGCTTAGTGAGAGAAATTAGTGTGGAAGAAGTAAAAATGGCTGTTAGGAATATGAAGAGTGGGAAGGCGGTCGGCCCAGATGGAATACCAGTAGAAGTGTGGAAGTTGCTGAGGGCGGATGGATGGAAGTGGTTGAGTTTATTTTTCGGTAAATTGTTGCAGGAAGAACAAATACCTGAGGAATGGTGCAGTAGTATACTGGTTCCCATTTTTAAAAACAAAGGAGACGTTCAAAACTGCAGCAGTTACCGGGGAATAAAGCTCATGTCACATACGATGAAAGTCTGGGAAAGAGTAATAGAGAGAAGAATGAGAGAAGAGTGTGAGATAACACAAAACCAGTTCGGATTCATGCCCGGTCGAGGTACGACAGATGCCATTTTCGCATTACGCCAATTGTGCGAAAAGTACAAGCGCGTGCATAAAGATCTGCACATGGTTTTTGTCGACCTTGAAAAGGCGTACGATCGGGTTCCCCGTGAGGTCGTGTGGTGGGCGTTAAAGATGAAAGGTATGCCTGGGAAGTATGTGAGGTTGGTCCGTGCTATGTACAGAGCATCCCGTACATGTGTACGATCTGCCGCGGGAACTACGGGCGGTATCGATGTGGCGGTAGGGCAGCACCAAGGGTCGGCACTGAGCCCTTACCTCTTCCTACTGATTATGGACGCTTTGACGTCGGACCTGCAGGATGAGGCACCCTGGTGCATGCTCTTTGCCGATGACATCGTGCTTGTCGGGGAAGAAGGCATCGAGGTACAGAGCAGACTGACGGGGTGGCAACGGAGGCTGGAAAGTGTTGGCCTGAAGATCAGCAGATCCAAAACCGAATATCTGTGCTGTGATTTCGGCGGTCTTTCCAGTCCTGTACCCATGTCGTTGGATGGCGCTATACTGCCTATCTGCTCAGATGTCAAGTACCTCGGTTCCCTCATTCAAGGCGACGGCGGAATAGATAGAGCTGTGCAGCATAGGATTAACGCAGGGTGGATGAAATGGCGACAGGTCACAGCCACAACGTGCGATCCCCGAATGCCAATAAGGCTGAAGGGGAAAATTTACAAATCGATCATCCGACCTGTCGTCATGTATGGAAGTGAATGCTGGGCCGTCAAGAAGAAGGATGAAAATAGACTGCATGCGAATGAAATGAGAATGTTACGATGGATGTGTGGTGTGACAAGGATGGATAAGATAAGGAATGAGTATATAAGAGGAAGCCTGAAAGTAGCGCCAGTGGTAGAAAAGGTGAGATGAAGCAGATTGGCATGGTTTGGGCATGTGATGCGGAGGAATAAAAAAAAATCTGACCTTTTCGACGACCCTTCATATAAAAAATCCTTAAATTCGTAATAAAAAAATATTGAGTGTCACCTATCAAGGTTAGAACTATCCTATCTCTCAAGTTGGACCAAACTGCATAGAGTGTGCAAACTTAATTGAAATGAGTTCAGTAGTTTAGGAGTTGAGTGGAGTAGAGACAAACAACGTGACACGTAATTTTTATATATATTTATATATGTACGTATAATAACCTTTTTATTCAATATTTATTTCATATGTACGCAATGTAGTTATGTACATTTTAAAGATGCAATGGGGAGGCAGGACGCCAATATTGCTCAACTTTGTCAGATGGTAGTATTACCTTCGTCTTTTACTGGATCACCTATCGAGGTGCATGTACGAAAAGACTCAGGATGCAATGACCTACGTCCGCCATTACGGTCACCCTGATCTTTTAATTACACTAACATGCAATCCTCGATGGAAAGATATTTCAGATACATTGCTACCTGGTCAGAAACCACAAGATTGACATGACATTATAGCACGGGTATTTCATTTAAATTACTAAAAAAGGGAAATTTATTTGGAAACGTTCTTTGCTACATGCATATTTTTCTGTAGTTAGAGCAGTGCTTTTCGCCTGCCAATATAGATAACCTCATTTGTGCCAAAATACCGGATCCTGAAGAAGATCCCGACCTTTATGAAATTATCAAAGCCAATATGATCCATGGACCTTCCGGAAATTTGAACAATGAAGCTCTGTTTATGAAAGTTGCTATTTGTAGCAAAAAGTACCCTCGAACTCTTATGAAAAAACTTGCACAGGTGAAGACAGTTACCCTAAATACAGGCGAAGAGATCCCATAGATGGAAGCTTCATGGTTACCATTAATGGTGTAACCCTCTAGGGTTGGTCAACCGATGGGTGGTACCTTATAATCCAGTTTTATCTCGGACTTTCCTGCTCATATAAACATGGAATATTATAGCTCCGTAAAATCAATTAAGTATGTATGTAAATATGTGAATAAAGGATCCGACCAGGTATCATTTGTTCTTGAAAATGATAATGATGCAGTAAAATTATACAAAAGTGGTCGCTATCTAAGCAGCTCTGAAGCTGTCTAGAGAATCCTGGCGTTTCCCATTCACGAAAGATTTTCAGCAGTTTTTATTCATGCAGTGCATTTGGAAAATGGCCAGCGGGTATTTCAATCCAAATACCAACAATGTAGATAACAAAGTTAACAACCTACAAAAAACTACTCCTAATAGCATTTTTTGATCTTTGTTAAACTGATAATTTAGCAAAAAGTCTAATATAACAAAAACTTTATGTTGAAGTAGACCTTCATACTTTGTGTGGAATAGTAACAAATTTTAAAGGCAGAAACGTGAAAGCAGCGTCGATGGTTGGCCGAAAGTAAAAAAGGATCAAGCTCTGGGCAGAGTGTATATAGTACATAATGTTTCTGAATGTTATTATCTGCGTTTTCGTCTTCATAAAATTCGAGGGCCAAATGATTCTGTAAAAAAATAATCTTAAAATTGTTGATGGTGTCATATACCCCACATTCCAGTCAGCGTGTAAAGCTCTAGATTTGCTTAAAGATGATAAACACTAGGATACCACTGTGGAAGAAGCTGCTTTTTGTAATCGTCCTTTTAAATTTCGAGAACTATTCTCAGTTTTGTTAATATTCTGTCCATTAACAGAAGCATCCAGTCTATGGAAGAAGTACAAAGACAGTCTATCGGAGGATATAAAGCGCCAAGTTTAAGCAGATTTGCAAAAGAATGTTCTTCAGATAATCGATGAAGTTTACATTAAGTGTCAGATTTATAAAGAAGACATTGTGTTATCCTTAGGAGGGCAGCGCTTAACCAACTATAGTGGAACGGCACTGGCCAATTTTTTTTGAATGCTCCTAGAGACACTGGCTAAACTTTTCTTTTAATTTTATTTACGTTGCTGGATGGTAGTAAGATAGCCCATTCTACGTTTAAATTGCCCTTAAACTGGATGCATGTAGAGACACCTCTATGCAACATTTCAAATCAGAGTAATAAGGCGCAAGTTTTAGAAGAAACAAAACTTATTGTAAGGGATGAGTGCACTATGGCCCATAAAGGAGCCGTGGAGGCTCTCAGCAGAACATTGCGAAATATAATAGAAAATGGTACATTGATGGGTGGTGTTACATTTCTTTTAGCGAGAGACTTTCGACAAGCCTTACTGGTAATAAATACTAAGGGGAACACGAGCCGATGAAATAAGGTCGTGCTTAAACTTTTCATATGTGTGGCCTCATATTCAGAAGCTCTCTCTTAAGAAAAATAGGAGAGTACTCTTGAAAGGTGATGCTACCGCTGGTCAGTTTGCAATGACTTTAATTCAAATAGGGGATGGAGATTATCCTACAGTAGATAGTAAAGTTGTAATACCACCAAGTCTGGCCATAGTAGTAAAAACTCTTGCAGAGCTTATCGCCGTTTAAGTTAAGTTTAACCTGACATCGCTAACATTATGGCAAAACCCGTAGACTGGTTATGCGAGAGTGCTATTTTGACGCCTAAAAATGACTTGCTAAAATAATTTGAAGGCGAAAATATTAGTTATAAATCTGTGGATTCAGTGATACCAGTTGATGATGCAGTAAATTATCCCGTCAAGTTTTAAATACCCTTAAACTAGCAGGCCTTTCAGCTCATATGCTCACCCTTAAACTGGGCGCACCAGTTATATTATTGAGGAACTTAAAACCTCCAAAATTATGCAATGGTACTGGACAACAATAACAGCTCTCCATAAAAATGTTTTAGAGGTAAAATAATCACCGTATGTCCTCAAGGGGAATTAGTGTTCATATCACGAATACCTTTAATACCATTAGATTACCCCTTTGAGTTCAATTACAATTACAGTTCCCCTGAAAGTGTGCTTCGCTATAAGCACTAATAAAGCACAAGCGCAGTCACTGAAAATGGTTGGATTAGATTTATGGGAGAGCTGTTTTTCTCACGGATAGTTTTATGTGACCTGTTCAAAGTAAGTGCAGCAAATAGTCTGGTGATTTTAACACACGAGAGCTGTGCCACAAATGTTGTATAAAAAGAGGTCCTTAAATAAAAACAAACATTTCTTTAAAATATATTATTTATTATCATGTAGGCCAAAAACAAGGAAGCAATAAAATTGTCGTCAAAAGATGCACAATATTTTGTGGATCCGCAAGGAATCATATAGGTATTCTGATGATGTTAAGTATTCGTGGTATGAATACTATTTCCCCTTGAGAACATCCGGTGATTACTTTGGCCTTTAAATATATTTAAAACTCGACGGGATAACAGAACATTAGTGCATCATCAACTTGTAATAAATACTCGCAAAAACTTTATGTAGCCTCTATATAGGAATGCCTTTTACAGTCATAAATTTTATAATCTCATAGGCGTCCAGACGCGCTGGCACGCTGTTGTACACTGAGTAGAAGTATTTGGCAAATTCAGTCGCACTTTGTTGATCTGACAATGCCACTCCATCTTTCAATATTTGTTTACGTTTAATGGTCCCTTTGTTTGCCCTAATGTGATCCCAAAAAGACTTAGGATCCTTTGCCAAGTCACTTTGCACACGGTTCTGATAGTTTAGGTATACGCTATCAATAGTTTTCTTAATTCGCGCCTTGCAAGTAGAAAATCTTCGTAATCAGCACGAGATCCGGTCGATTTATATCGCTTGTGAAGCGAAGCCTTTATTTTGATATCCCTAATTAAATCACTAATATACCACTGAGGGTAATGTTTTTGATCTACTTTCTTTTCCGGCTTTTTCGGTATACAATTATCTAAAATACCGTAAAATACATTATAAAAAAATCCAAAGCTTCGTCTGGTTTCTGTGTCTCGTTAATCAAACTCCAATCAGTGGAAGCTAATAAAGAATAACATAAGTAAAAATTATGTATAACTTTTTATTAAAAAATAATCATTAAAATCTGTTCATATTGACGAAGACATTGCGTAACATACATGAAACAACTTCTGCAATAACTGGCCAATTTAACATCTAATTTTCTGTAAAAATATTAGAAAAAGTTGTAAATAGCCGGTTGGCAGTCGAAAATATTGTTATAAGCATTGATCAGCGCTACCCGCGGGGTTTTTTTTATTATGATTTATTAAAAAAAACAAATAATCTATAAGAAACCAAGACACCATATACTCATTTATTATTTATTCAATGCGAGTCGCAAAAGACACCTGAGAAAAATACCAAGATAACTTTTAGGCAAAAAAATATTAATAAAGTGGTACAAAGAAAAAAAGTTTGAATTGATAGATACCTATAACATCTTAGTTACTCTCTCTCCCCCCTATCTTACATGGCTCGCTGAGTGAGTTTGAGCTTCTTAATACTTTCACCAATGATGAAGATGGAGTTCGTTTTGATTACGCAGGTTATCACTTCTTTTTGTGTTCACAGCTTAAAGTAATGAGTTATATCGGAGGAACACACAGAAATTTTTGAGACACATTTAGTGCCTATATTTTGCAGTTTATGACTTCACTACGGTGTGAGTGTTAGTATAAAATAATATCTATTTTATAAGTAACGAACCAACTGTTACCATTTATGTAGTATTAAACACGAACCAATAAAGGTGTAATTCGCTATTTCATTAAAAATAACTTTAGAATTCTGAATCCGGAATTTTGTTTTGCACAAAGGGAACAAAAATAAAATATAAACCACAAAGCATTCTGGTGGTTGCTTTGTATTGTTTTCAATCTACATTGGCAAACATTGTATAAGGATAATAAATAACAGCCATCAGTGCCGAAATAAAACTATTTACTATTATATTTATTTTCCATCTACATATATAAAAGAGTGACTGACTCATATGTCAACGTACAGCCCAAACCGCATGTCGTACATGAAATTTGAGCTGCCTTTT